CCCATGCTAATAAACTCTATATCGTCAAATATAACATCATTCACTGTTGGATCAAAGAAATGGAAAAGTCAAAACACCTTTTTCGAGGGGCTTCGACATTCATGAGTAGATTAGATATCTACGAACCATAATAAATACAACGACCAAACCTGTGGCCACAAAACAAAATATGATAAATGAAAAGGAAACAAAGGAAAGATCCACTTTCAAAAAAAAAAAACAAAGGAAAGATCCAACAATCACGACATGATTACTAGATTTGAAGATGACCATGTCATCCTTACTAGTACCGGTGTCAATGATCATTATCCTTTTTAAATGAATTAAAAAATATATTAATCAATTAAAATAATAAAATATATATACTTGATGTTTTGAGTCAATTGACATTTTATCAATTTAATGTACATTTTTTTTTTTAAGCAGATTTCGAGCTCACTCTTGGCAAACTGTTAAAAAAAAAAAAACAAAATATATATAGCATTAGTAATTAAAAATATTACCGGATACATATTACAGTATTTCAAGCGAGGAAATATTGACTGAAGTGTCATTTGACGGTGATATCAAAAAAGGAAAGGAAAATGAGTTGCTTGGGATAAAACAGTAAAACACAGCAGACAATGTAAAATTCAGTAACCAAATAGCAATCTCAATTCTTAATTCTGCTCACATGACTGCCAACACGGCTTCATGTACTATCAGAATTTGAAGAAAAATCCACACCAAAATTTAAGCACCAAGAGAAAGATTCAAGTGGTTTTGCTCACTGACTGGGCATCTTCCTTGTCATTTTGCAGAGTAGCTAAAGAGTTTGTCGCTGAGTTTTCTGCTGTTACAGTGCCGGTACCATCATCATCCTGCCTCCTAAGGAGAGAAGAGAAAGACAATGGATTACACGTGGAACTTGCTTTCTGAAGGCCTCGTATTGCTTTCATTGCAGCGAGAGTACTGCGATATACATCCATAGATTCCTCTCCAAGAGTTGATGAAGCATCCAGGGAAATATTTGTATCTTTATTCAATGGTAAGTTTGACTCGCCTTGTGCAGCAGAAGTGGATTCAAGGACTTCTGCTTCAAATGGGAAAAGAAGCTCTAGATTTTCCTCGCACTCCTGGACTAGCCTTGTGAGAGTCTCTGTTGTAAAGAACGGCTGACGAAGTGCAATTTGAGTGAAAGGTAGACGCAATAATCCCCCTGTTCTCTTGTCATATTTCTTCAAAATTTTTACAAGCCCTGTTGTAGCAGAAATACAGAAATAGGTAAGAAACTAACAAGTGTACCTCAACCTATTTCGGGTGAGATATGGTGAACAGAGATAGATGATTCTGTACCTGCAAAATTGAGGGCGCTGTAATTCTTGAGAAGTACCATCTCACCATGAATGATAACAAGGTCCTTACAAATGTCCATCATTTCTTCACTAAATTCACTCTCTGATGTAAAAACTCCGCATGTGCCACTAGTATCTTTCACTTGCTCAATCCTTTCCTTCAGCTCCTGTCATATTAGGATCTAAAGATTAGACAAAAGGTCTGGCCCCATCAATATGAAATTGCAGTACATGTTACATATAAAGAAAATCTCAGCTGAAAGTTAACGGATCCATTTAAGCCTGTTATTGGAGTAGACATCAAAAAATATACAGGACAGGAAATACCCTTGAAGCATCAAAATCTTACCTAAAAGATAACAAGATAGATAAGTGAGAACTGCTTGCTACTGCATCAGATTAGTGTTATTTTCCCAAAAAGAATTATTTAGTCTTTTATTCTGATACTGGAGACATGAAGCAGAGCACAAAAAGGGAAAAATTCTACTCAAATTCATGATTAACATAGAAATTTAATAAACTAATGAAAAAATAAACCACTGCCCTCCATCTAGGAAAAACTAGAAAGTTGGGGGCCAAAAACATTGAAGGCTTCATTTTGAAAGCTCTAACACAACCAGAACCTTATATCCTGATTCCTGACAGCCGTCTACCAAGGTTAGGTGCAGAATATTTTCTTCACCAATCAGCCGTGCAATCCTACATAAAGTTCAACTCCCATTGAACCACCCCAAAAACATAAACCCTTCAAGTTTTTCTTTCCAACCACACCAATTCTACTCAAGTCACACAGCACCTCACTTTTCTCATGAATGGATTCACTTCTTAGAGTAGTTTCTTTCTTCCGTTACAATAATTTTCCAAATTGCAATTACCCACAAATGCATACGGTAAAGAAAATGAATATTTTGCCAATGTGGATGTCAACTTAAATAGGTTTGAGCAACAATCAAAAAAGGATGATTGACAAACAACCTTTTTTTTATACAGTTTTTTCATACAGCTTTATATGTTATTTAATAATTAATTCTTTTTTACTTTAATCGGACTGATATTGAATAATTAGACTCATTTAATCACTCATATGGAAGTTTAAAGAAAAGTCGTGACAAAAAGTTTCTGCATATCATTATCCATCAAACAAAACCCAAAAGGAATTCTTTGTTTCATACTCACCTTAATTCATCTTCCTTCTCCGAATTAAAACATATTCCAATCTATTCTGTCAACAAATACTTATCCTAATCACTTCAAGAAAAGAAACAAATCTGACCCAAAAGGGAAAGAGAAAGAAATGAGCTGCAGTACTTCATGACTTTCCTAGTAAAATTGTAGCGCATTTCCCATAATTAAGATCTCAATTACACAACATAGCCTATCTAAGCAAAGAATATTAAGATCAAGAAGAAGGGAAGAAATCCTGAATGCTGGAGACAAGTTCAAAGAGAGAAAAATAAGAAAGAACCTGAAAGCGAATAACGAACTCCTCCTCTTTATCAACATAAAAATCATTGAACTTTTCGAGCTCTTCATTCAGGATTCTAACAAACCAATAATGCAAGTCAATCCGGGGCCGAGTGGAATCGGAATGCTGAGGATGATGGTGGGAATTTAGGGTGGCAGAAGTATTGGTGGTGTCAACGAAAACGAGCTGAGGATCGAGAGTGGTGCTGGAAGGTAGGTTTTTGAGGAGCTTCTTGAGGGGCTTGTAACAGAGGAACTTGTCCCTCCACTCCGGCAGCGTCTCCTCCAGAT